TTACCGAAATGGCAGACAACTTTTCAGAGCCAGCGAAGCGTTTACATAAGTGGCAAGTACGGGGAGTCGTAAATCGTGGCAAATCGAAGTCCTCGGACCATCTAGCTAAATAAATTGATCAAAAAATCACGCAGAGAAAATTGCTTTAAAATGCAAGGGAAGCGAAAAATTCGAGGGGGGAACTGATAACTGAGACCCAAAATGAAGTGTAAGAAGAAAGGAAGCACTGGCAAGCCGACGTTTAAATACCCTTACAGAATGTTCCTATAAAATGGAAAATTAACAGAGTATTAAAATAATATTTTATTTAGATTTACTTGCATCACAAAGTAAAAGAGAATACGATAAAAATCACAAGTTTCACCATCGTTTCTTTGTCAGTTATAGTAGTCAGATATTTTATAAATTTAATTTGGAACTTATAAATATTATATTTTAAATTTGTTTTTAATTTTAATATTCTATATCTTTTTCAAAGTTTTTTTCTGAAACCATAATAGCCCTCTACAAGGGCATACAAAATGGCAAGGAGCAGTTTGAAGAGCTTATGAAAAGTAAGGAACGTTCAGTTCAGGGAGGGCCAATAAAATGCCAATTAAATTGATTTGAAACGCAACATTTTTTCCATATATACATACATATAAGCGGGTCGATAATGAGCAATGGGAAAATGTATTCTCGTTGATTGATTGACGAATTGATTGGCAAAAAAAAAGTGGGAGCAATTCATTAGCATAAATTACCCGCAGAAATGTACCAAATTTAATGGAAAACTCCCCGCGAATCTTAAATGCTCTTTGAAATAAGTGTAATTTCTACTTTCCTCATGTGATCTATTCCGTATTTATTGCAAACATATGTTGGGATATAACAAGGTGTACACACCAGAAAGGAGTTAACAATGAGCTTAGTGCCTCTGAATCGAAGGCAAACAAGGACCTGCGACACAAAGGGACAAATAGATAGATAGATACAACCTAAGATATATTTAAAGGATGCCGAGGATGGAGGACAGCATCCTGTTGCACTTGGCCCCTTTTTGATTGATGGCGTTGGCACTTGAGTGCACACGATAATCATTTATAAGGCGCATAAATGTTCTATTCTGTGTTAGAGAAAACTAGAAAAAGCGGAAGATCTGGGGTGGTTGGTTGCTTTAGCCGTCGGCTGCAGAAAAAAGCAGCAGCAGAGAATATAGAAAGGGAATATGCCAGATTCTGGCAGATTTCTCTGAGGTCGTTGGTTGGTATTTTTGGGGAGGTGTTCCTTGGGGGGGTTTATTTCGGGGTTCTTGGTCTCGTCTCACGTCAGCTGCAGAGTCTGACAGCCACTGCACGAAATTTGCATTCAAATCGAGCCGTGTATCTGACAGATTCCCAGCTGGCACACTTCTTTGTCGATGAGGATGAGAAATGGCTCCCGTCGTCTGAGTTTCTGAATCTCTGAGCTTCCTCCGAAGGGCCTGAGATTAATTATCTTCGTGCTAGCAAACGGTTACTCCACTCCAACTTCCGTATAATTGCCCAAGTTATAGCCAAGTTTGTCATCGTTTAAGAGCTCAAAATGAATCGCCATCTTTATCTCCACAGGGGTGCCAAGGAGTTCCGGTTATCCAAACACCCTTTTTGGGACTTATTTTATAAAATTATATATTTTGTAATAGCTGGTTTATTTTTTAATTAATTGTTTTTGTTTATTTTCTGCTACTGAGACATATTTCTATTATTTCTTTGAAAACTGAAAAGCTCACATGCCGCATTATCCTGCCGCCAATGCAAACAAAAACTCGCTGAAGCAGCAGCTGCCAATTACAGCGACTGCTCTTCTAATTAGATGCACCCACATTTTCCGATCCCGATCCCCATCCCTCCCGCTCTCATCAATGACATGGGGGAAAACGAGTGAAAACAACACCCAAACACCCGGCAATGTAGATGATTCGTAGGCGGGAAGTTTCACCGAACAGTTCATTTAAAGCAGAAGGCAATTGAATATCGCGATTTGTGATTTTCGTATCAGTTTTTGGTTGCTTACAGGGAACTTTGGAAAAGTTCTTTAAATAGCCATTTGTGCCAGAAAGTCAACAAGCAGGCGCCAAAGCTATAAACTTAATTTAAACATATGAGGGATACAATAAATGAGGCTTAAAGTTAGAGCTTGTAAAAGTATATTAGTTTTAAATTTTGATATTTTCGATATTTTTAAGAACAATTTTATTATCAATAAACATAACGATTTAAAGAATTGTTCATAGCGACTTCTCTTTTCGTGCTTGATGATATTTAACATTTATGCCCTGTACTCGTAAATCCCATGACCATTTGTTACCCACCAAAAGTTTATCGGTTAAATTGCTCACGCATATATATTTTGTACGCTTTTGTGTTTACACAGAGAAAAAAAAACAAGAACATTGCACTCAAATCAAGAACATTCGTTCTTAAAAACCGGGTAAGCACAAATGTTCTCATTTCGAGTTGAATGTTCTCAATATCAGAACGAAATGGTGTTAGCTAAAAATCCGACATTAAGTTCACTTCGTTCTATTTTCAAGTTGATTTTGTTCTTAATTCAAGAACATTTTTAAATCAAATGGATACAAATATAAGTTCATTTGTTCTATTTTCAGCACTTTTTGCTCTCAATTCTATAGCATTTTGAGTTTGATTTTAGCTAAGGATAAGAGTAATTTATAAGTAATATTAAAAAGGTAGTTGTCCATAACACCTTATAAAGGTGCGCGTTGCACTTGACTTCCAGCTAGTGTGGAAGTTCATTAAAGACTTAAGCCAGAAAAAAAGTCTTAAAGTCTCAGAATCTGAATTGGGCTCGGTTCATGAAGGGCTAGAACCAGTTGAGAATTATATATAAGACGAAAAGGGCAAATCTAATGGTAAAGTCCTATTGGAGCAAAGTAAAATGGTCTAATGCGTTCTAGGTGTCAAACGAAAACATCCTAACGCGTTCTAGGAAATCCAAAAAAATTAGAGAATAGAGTTTTGAATCATTTTAAGTTGAAATGCAACTTAATTTTTGTTCTTTCTTTAGTCTTTTTCGTTCTCAAACTAAGAACATTTTCAGATATTGTGGTTTTTGAGAACCAAATCGATTTGATTTAAGAACCATGTGCTAAAATAATAACGATTCGTTCTTATTTCAAGAACATTTTAAGCTCAACTAGATTTTAAGAACCAATTCAACTTAATTCAAGCACATTTAGAACATTTTAAACTTGAAAAAGGCCTTTCTATTTTTAAGAACATTTTCAACTCAGATGAGAACGTCAGAATTTTCTCTGTGTACACACTAATACTGGCCATTTCCGGTGGTTGTTGTTGCCGATTTCCGTCGAGTGGAAATCTCGCTCAGAATTTTCCATTCTGCATTAGAATCTCAGAATGTACAGATATACATATCAGAAAACAGACGAGGCGATTGTGCAAGCGACCTTGCCTCCCATGCACCCATTCAGTAAATGAACCATCTCTCTTCTGAATATTAGTCAATTAATATAACTCAATTTGACGTCGTGCCGGAATGCTTCGTCTCTTACTCTATAAAAGTATTTACGAATTTTTTACAGTTTAAGCTCAAAAATATAATAGAGAAAATAAAAGGGCTTCAGAATTATCAAGCATTATTTCAGAACTTTTTAATTTTTGAAGAAAAGACTTTGGGATAAAATAGTCTCCTGAATTATTAATTAAAGTATAATATATAAACATAGGAAATATTGTGCATTTCCTAAAAATAATTAATATTTAATAATTTAATTCTAAAATTGAATACACACATTTTTAAGGTAGTGTATTTCTAATTCACCACCCTACATTCTCTACGTTGTTTGTGTGTTTTGGTATTCTGTTTTGGTGTGATGTGCGATTTGTGTGATTCGTTGTGAATCACGCTAGAATTGCACTTGATTTTGAGCGATTTGCATTTGCATTTTGGTGTTGGGTTACGATTTATGTGCTTAGTTACTTAATCAATTTGGCTTGTTGCTCCTATAACAATAAAATCAAACAATTCGGCTTAACTGATAACGAAGTGGAAAAGAGTGAACAGAGCTTTTGCCGTCCAGCAGATTTATCGCTTCTGTTTCGAAGGGAAACAGAATTTTAAATGGTGAGAGAAGAGATAGTAGAGATGGAAAACCGAAGGCACGGTGGAAGAGAATTAATTGATCTTCATTCAAATAAATACAAAAAAAAACTGTTCGATTTTCTGCTTAGAAAAAGCTTAATACGTCATAAATGTATGAAAGCTTTTCTTAACCCCATCAAACGTCACCTTGCTTGATGAATAGGTATATATTAAGTATGTCCCTGGAGGTCAGTGAGTCACACTCCATTAGTATAATGTAACGAAGAAATTCAGCTCACGCATACACAAAATCCCCACTCAATTTGACTTAATTTGAGCAACATATTACCATAGGATATTACTACAATTTGTATTTAACCGTTAACTAACCGCCACTTTTTTTTTGTCTTACATTTTTACAAATATTCGTACATGTTAAGACAGACAATTTTGTAATTATTATTTAACATCAGCTTTTTTATAATAATATATAAATAAAATACATTTCTGTATTTTTACAATTTTGAGTTAACCGCTAACTGACCGCCACTTTTTATTTGTATTACATTTTTACAAACTAAATACTATATTCTCATGTAAAGATAAACCATTTTGTTTATTATTATTTAACAAAAAACATTCTTATAATTAAATATAAATAAAATACATTTCTGCCCCGTTCTGTCCCACTGTGCCATGTGTTGCTCGCTCTTTTGCTGCCTCTCTCTTGCAATTGTTGTTTTATTTGCCCGAATGTGTGGAGAGAATGTGACGATGGGAGAATTCTGAGTGTTTACGTTGCGAGCACTACTTTTTGTTGTATTTCAGTGGCGTTCTGTGCGTGCTGGCGAGCGCAATATGAATTAGTCAGCGGCGCTGTATTTTCACTCGATACTAAGGCATCAGCTGGAGATTATTTGGATTTGGATTTTCCTGACCTGCCTGCCGGACTCTTAGTTTCTGCCACGATGTCGGGCACTCAGGACTACGATCGCAAGTACCTCCTCAGCATGGCGGGCCTGTGCAAGATGGCCTGTTTGGTAATTAGTCATATTACTCGCCACTCGATTTTCCCCCAATCAATTAACTCGATTTCCCTCGCAAACAGCTGTGCAGCTTCGTTGGAATTCTGTGCATCATCTGCGGACCGGTGCGCGTGAGCAATTTTCGCGGCAGCTTCTACCTGGCGGTGGTATCCATTGGCCTTGTGGCTACCTTGACCCTGCTCTTGGCCAGATACCTACGAATGTGGCAGCGCCCCTTCTGCCGGTGCGATCCCACACTCTGGTCGTTGGCAGTGCACTCCTCCCTGGCACTGGCCTACTTCACGGCCTCCGGACTCGTTCTGTCCCTCGACATCGGGGCCTACACGGCGGCAGCGGTAAGTAGTTGTTCTGTGGTCTCTGGAGGCAGGAACTCCGGCATATCAGGTGTTTCTGGTGAGAAAGTGGGGTAACTATGGCGTGTGTAGTAGTACCCCACCTGCATTTTGTACTGTAACCCATACTTTAACCTTCAGTTAGTCACAAAAATAAGATATCGCATACAAATCAAATTTATTTGTTTTATGGTAAACATATTTTTAACTTTCAGTTAAAAACAACAAATGCCTAAACCACTTAATAAGAAATTGCATCCAAATGAAATTAGTTTGAATTATGGATAAACATAATTTAGACACAAAAAATGTCTAAACATTGCATCCAAACAAAATTTATTTGAATTACGCCTCTTAAAAATTAACCTTTAGTTAGAAACAACAAATGCCTAAACCACTCAATAAGATATTGCATTCCTATTTTCGACAAGTGCAATATTAATTTTCTCCAGACCCGTCTAATACCCCTCTCTCTTTCTCTTTCAGTTTTTCGGGCTGACAGCATTTTGCATCAACGCTCTGGAGGCCTACGGAAACTATAGGCGCAGTCGCCAGAGGGAGGTGGCCACCCAAACCATATAGACTTGGATTCCGGTGCACAATCCCCGCTTTTCGGTGGCTTTTGCTACCTTAAGCTTGCTCCACAGTGGTGTGAGTACGTAGTAGTATCTGTGTGAGAGCAAGAATCTGTGTGCGTGAGAGCGAGTATCGCTTGCATTAAGCATTTTGTAGTCTGGTAGGAGAATGTGGAAAGCTTTTATCGCTGGTACAGTTATTGGATGTTTTATCTAATAGTCGCTAGATATGTAGGTCAAGAAGTGAAGAAGATAAGCCCAGTCGATATGCGGATTATATTATATAGATATTATAAAGCAGTGAGTGCAACCAAGAGAGAAAACACTGAAAAAAGAGAAACAATTCCAAAGAGATAATTCGTATTGTGTCTTCTGGCTCTGCTTTTTTTTTTGATCCCTCTCCACCTGATAACTGGTTAACAAAGCGTGAATACATACATATGTATATAAATAGATTTGTACAGATTTTGTTGTACCTTAGTTAAGTAATATTCGTATTTGTGTGTCACAAGTAAATATACTTTTTAGATAGTTAGTTGGTAAATTGATGCGAAGCACGATGCCTTTTGTGAAATATTTTTACAACCACTGAATTGTTATAATTATAAAGATATTTTTTTGTAATGCTACATTTAAAATATATCAATATAAATATTATTGTAATGAATTTGATTGTTTCTATTGCCCTTTTGAAAGCGAAAAACTATTTTATAGAACCCCATTTATAGAGCAAAGATATCGCAAACTTGCACCTTTGTTTACCTTATCCGCCGCATTGAAACTGAACTGAAAATAAAGCGAAGCCCTTGTATCTGCTTCTGTTTTTGTTTTGCTTCCTTAAAGCTGTTGCCATTGTTGACTTTTGAAATCTTTTAGACCTCCCACCGCCCACAGCCCACCTCCACAGTCACCTTGGGCTTTTTCTCTCGCCTCGGCCGCCTCATTATTATTACTTTTTTGTTGCCTGTTTTATGAAGTTTTCGCCCCGATCCTGGTCTATTTTTGGCACGATTAATTCATAGTTAGCTGGTTGTTGAGGGTAAGCAAATTTTCAGAAAAGTACGCCTTACGATGTAATAAACGGCGATAAATATTTATACGTTTTCCCTCTTAAATATATTAATATATATTAAAAAAACCCATTGCAGGCATAAAATCAAGGAGATATAGGATCGGCAAATCGCCACCTAGCGACAAAAACTGTAATTACTCATAACATTTTAATAAATGGTCCGATTTGAATACCTTTTCAAAGATATGGTTATTAAAAATCGAAACAAAATTTATAAAATGGTATCTTAGACTTCCCTGTATGGTTTGTACCTATCTAAGAGATTTTAGTGATATATTTACACATTTTTCAGGCTGTTCTCCCCCGTCGCCCTTTTAGCTAAATGATCATTTAATTATTTCCCTCTGACGTCCAGAGCTCTTAGCACTTTTCATACCTTATGTGTACTAATTTTGGCCCCTCCATCGAGCTTTTCTGCCATGCAAGTCACGTAAAGTGAAATTAATTAGTCTTGTTTACCAGTTACTCAGCCTTCTTTCAGGATGGAACAGTACAGAACGGAAAAGCGGAAGTGGCGGGACAAAGGGTCAAACCTTGAGTGATTGAAATGCAATCGTGTGGACCAACTGAGCGAGCTCATATTGAATTTGCGGACATTTTGTGGGTCCAGTGAGTGATTAATGCTGTGGTCAATTTAGAAACGGGACCTACTTAGTTTAAAAAATTCTCCTTTCTTTTTTCCGTTAATAAGATCGCAGTTCAATTGGAAAAAGTGTCATGGCAATCTCTCATAGCTCGCTCTCATAATTCTTGGCTGGCCTAATTAGCTGTCGACATATCTGCGATAAAACATCAATGGTCGGCAAATGAATAAAGTCCTTAAGGGTCATAACGACCGACCGCAGGCCTTGGTGATAACTTTTGCCCGAAATACTTATAATTTGTTGTCGAGGGGGAGTGAGAAAAGGTGGAACGTGGACCGTGGCCCGTCCTTAATTAATGAAATCATTTTCAAATCAAACGCGCATTTAATCAAAGTCAGGCCGCCGTTCCTTGTGCAATTTATCTGGCTTGGTCCTGCACTGCAGAAAAAGATTTGATGCCTAGTTATTCTAGTTATTTATAATATTAATTCCGAATGTATATATATTTTTGTAGATTTTTATGTCAATACGTTTGCTACTTTCCTTTTTTTTTTGAAGACTTTTATAGATTAGTCTAGATAATATTATATAATTACTATTCTAGTTTCTAAAACACAAAGTTATAACTGTTCGGATTTCATCTATACTAAGTGCAACATTTTTGAATTAGGAAAACTTTTTGTTATATTCGTTATTTTTTTTAGAGTGTTTTGGGGTATTCCCATCCCATCATTCTCATCAGCAATCCATTTCATTCACCCCAAATGTTGCGGTAGCCAAGTGACGCGCTGAAATGCGGGCCTAGCGCCTGACCCCCGCCACTTTTCAACCTCTTTTGGCCTACTTTTGACCCCCTTTCGCCCAAACCCCCCTTGACCACAGCTATGCTAATGCTTTTAGATGCTAATGCGGACAAAATAAATGGTTTCATAGGTTTGTAGTCAACTTTTCCTTTTTTGACAGTACTTTTAATTTTTAGCAACAACGCATTTTATCTTCCGGATCCTCTAATTATACTTTAGCACTGCGACTAATTTGAAAGGCGAATCTAAATAATATATCTTAAGCTACAAAGTATAACTTGGAATTATTTTGTTCTGCATTATGATTTTTTCTGGCAAAAATATTTACTAAAATATTATAAAATAATATAACTTAAAAAAACAAAAAGGTATGTTTCTCATCAATTGGCACTGAAGGTCTAGAAATGAAATTCAACGACCAATCAGCTTCCTTCAGAGATTTAATCTTTCCTTTCGTAATTTTTGGCACGCTCATTTGTCAGGGTTTTGAACAAATAGCGCGTGGCGAACGGAATACAGAATATACCAGCAGGTGGAGTCGAACCCGGGTCGACGGGAGAACTTTAGTTTCATGGAAAAACTTGCGCTTTAGCGCACTAAGCCATTTCCGTCCTCTTTTCTTATAGAGGTAGATTGGCGACACTACCTTACCGACACAATTTACTTCTTTATCGATGCACTGCTTTGGCGACTTATTAACTTGTGCTCCAGAGGGCGCTATTTTTCAAAACCTCATTGATAGCAATGTAAAATGTAGTAGCAGTGTTAAACATTTATCGTATTGTACAGTCTACATAAATTATACTCTCGACTTCCAAATACACTCTTCATATTATACATTCGATAATCACCTGATATTCTACCATTCTTCTACATTCTTCATACCTGCTAAATTATACAGTTAACATTTTTGACATTCTACACTTCCAGTAATGTTATACATTTTACACGCAGGTGTCACAGAATTCGCTTAGCGCTGAATTCGATTATCATTTATATTCGGGGGTGTCACAGAAATTATTTCCAACCGAAATCCGTTAAAGTTCTTACGTGCATCAATGCAAAATCCAACCGTCTTCGGTTGTAAGAGATTTCTGTGACACCCCTGAATGATGTACATATATTCATATCCAAGTTACACAAAAAAACACTAAGGGCTGTTTTCGCGTCCCTTTGTAAAATGTAAAGTAGGTTAAGCCCCTTAAAAAACCTTTTGGGATTCGAAATTTAAAGCTTAACAAAAAAAAAAAGAAAACTTAAATAAATAAAGATGCTGAGTTGTAAACTAAAGGCAGATATTTATTTAATAGCTAGTTAGTTCTTCTTATCAAGTTCTACCAAAATCACCGTATCGTTAGTCTACGTTAATTAGCTTACCACTTGATTACCAGACGACAATATCAATTAATTCGGCTTAATTCTTAATTATCAGAAATAACGGTTGTTAACGGGTTTTTATTAAATACGATTATTTCTGCAATATTATTGTATTATCGAGAAATGTCCAATTGGAATCGATTTATCACACTTACACACGCACACAAGCGATCATGGCAATTGGTATTGGTGAGAGAGAGCGAAAAAAAAATAACCTGCCTAAACGAAATGTTCGTAAAATGCGTATAAATATTGGTAATTCCAACCAACTACCATATGAATCGAAGAGCCTGCACCTCCAACTACACTTTTCACCACTTTTTTCTTATTTTAGCGACCTAATTACCACTTAAAACACACATTTTCTTCACCGGCCAGAGAAAGCTGTTCACACGTGAGAAAATGGCGAAGGATTATCGATATTCGATAAGTGGTTCTCTCCTCTCTTCACCTTTTTGACCTATCAAAAAGCTGATTGCTATGAAATCCAGCAAGAACGTTAGAAATTCAATTCAAATATAAAACAAAAATAAAAATGGCATAGATTTTGTAGCTGAAAATAAAATAATATTAATAATAACAGTAAAAAATTAAAGATATATTAATATGGGTCAGTTCGTATGTCATTATAATATATAAATATTAAAATTACCCAAAGTCCTTAATCTAAAATTGAAAACCAGAAACATTCTCGTTGAAGAATTTATTAAAAATATTACGATATCGTATTTTTACATCTTAAAGTAGCCCCAAGCCACTGTTTACAAGCTATTCGATTACAGATCTTATGTGGTAGTGCCAAGAGTAATGGTTCTTAGGGTCTAGTAAAAAAAAGGTTTTCTTGTTTTTGGTTTGGTTTTGGGTGCATTTTGGGTTAAAAAATGAATTCATCTCGGAGCTTTTGTTAGACCTCCTCACAGTTTTTCATCGTACCGTTGGCCGTTAGCTCCATTTTGACATTGGATTGCGGATTTGGATTCGTTGGATGGGCGGGGGAAATGTGCTGCTGGGGGATGGGGATGTTGTTGTTGTTGTGCTCCTCGCTGAGCTTGAAGATATCACTTGGGTCCTGGACTTGCATCGGAGCTTGGCCCTGGGCAAATCGTCGTACTTGCAGGAAAAGTCCTCCGTTGTTCAAAAGACGCGCCTGGTGCTCCTGCGCCTTGGCCCTCAAACAGGCGATTGAGTTATTCCTGAGACACACACACACACATCATTGTTAATTATGAGTTCAGCCGTTTGAATATTGCATTCATTGAATTGAACCACTTAAAAAAAACACTCAACTTAAAATTTTGGTAATTTATCCATAAATTAGAATAAATATTCTATTCCAAAAAAATTTTTTTTTGTAATTTGCCAAGCTTTAAAATAAATTCCGGTTTCGTCAATTAATGAATTTGTAAATTCACAGAAAATTAATAGTTGTATAAACAATTTCTCAAGCCAAAAGATAAATCAACTGATGAATTTCCGGGTAAATAATAATTTCCAATCTTACAAATAAATCATATTTTCGCCATGATATAAATTTAAAAATTTTGCAATACATTTCCGAGTAAATAATAATTTCCCAATCTTAAAAAAAGTCATATTTTCGTCAACTGATAAATTTATAAATTTTGCAATACATTTCTGAGTAAATAATAATTTCCCAAGCTTACAAATAAATCATTTTTTCGTCAATTAATGGTGTTTAGAAATCCACACAAAATAATACATTTTCTCAACAATTTCGCAAGCTAAAATATCACTAAAATTTACCTGAAGGTATCCGGATCGTGTTCCATGAGGGCGGCGGCCAAATTGTGGGCGTGCATGCCAGGTTGTTGTTGCTGCTGTTGTTGTTGTTGTTGTTGCTGCTGCTGGGCAGCTGCTGCTGCTGCCGCCACGGCTGTGTTCATGATCAGGTGAAAGTCCTTGCTGGAGGCCGCTGCTCCTGCGCCAGCGGCATTGGCGGCGTCCATGAGGGGATGATAACTGGGGGCACCACCGCCCAAATAGAGCGGCACCTGTTGCTGCTGCTGGGGAGAAGGGGAGCCCATTTCGATGTGTGGACTGCCGGAGCTGCCGGAGGTGGTGGCTCCGCCCTCCGAGGAGGCCGCTCCCCCCGCATAGCCGCTCGTCGAGGAGTTTGGAGGCGCTGTGGAAACGGAATTGGTGCAGCTGCTGGGCGCCGGACTCACAACGTTCAGCGATTCGGTGGAGGAGCTGAGGGCACGGTGGCGGTTGAGGGAGAGATCCTCCGAATTGCCGGACTTCGAACCCGCCGAATCCTCGTGGTCACTCACCCCCGAATCGTCCTTGAGCGCCGACTGCGCTTCTATCGATTTGCGGTGCATGCCTATTAAGTAAAAAATGAAATAAAATTAATGTCAGTGATTTTGTATTTAATATTTTGATGATTAAAATAATTTGTGGGGAAATTGGAATCATCTCATCGAATATATTAATGTAATGGGAGTTAAAAAAAATAAAAATTAGTCTTAAAGTACGCACCTAAAATAAAGTAAATATGTACTATAAACAAATATATAATTATTAAGATTTCTGACACTTTTTGGTTAAATTACAATAAAAAAAACATAAGGAAAATTTATATTTTCCTAAGTTTCCACCCAAAAAATGTAGTGCAACGATCGGCTTTTATTAGCTTACCACTTGAATACTAGACGATCTCAATGAATTCTATTTGAATTTTATTATTACTCGGTTAATATTATTTACGATTATTCTTTTTATATTAAACAATTGTATTATCGATATATGTTCCAATTGAAATCGAACTCACTCACTTACACACACACGCACCCACGCGACCATGGCAACTGGTATTGGTGAGAGAGCACGCGGCGAAATACCAAAACGAAATATGCAAAAAATAAGTATAAATCTTGGTTTTTCCACTAAACTGTCATGTACATCGAAGAGCCCGCACCTCTAACTACACTTTTCACCACTTTTTCCTTATTTTACCGACCGAATTACCACTTAAAACACAAATTTTCTTCACCGGCCAGCGAAAGCTGTGCACACGTGAGAAAATGCCGAAGGATTATCGATATTCGATAAATGGCTCTCTCCTCTTCTCACCTTTCTGACCTATCAAAAAGCTGACTGCTATGAAATTCTGTAAGATCGTTAGAAATTCAAATCAAATTTTTAAAAATGTTTTCTATAAGCTAAAAATAGTGCAACGAGAAATATTTGCATTGAATTTGAAATCTTTGGACTTACAAACTTTGTAATTCGTTCAAATATCATAAATAATAGAATAAAAGCAATTAAGAAAAGACATAAATAAATTTAGCAATTTAAAATCACATTCTAATTGATAACACTATGCAGCATCAAAAATTAACCTCGATGAATGCTATATTTTTGGATTCGTTACGAATTCCCAAGTTAAACTGCGTTTTCCAAAGAGTTCCCCGACGCAAGGATTCTTAGCAAAAGGACCTCAAAGTTCGAAAAATGCTGAAATTGACCAACTTTGCGGAGCTCTCAGAGGCATATGGATGCATGGCATCGTTCGAAGTTAAAGTTTTTTAAAAGATACACCCTTTATCTTACAAACCCCATACATAAAATAATTTTAGGATTTTTTTTAAGGCAGAAATAAATTCCAAAAAACATAGTTAAAAAACTGAAAAACATACAGCTGCGGTCAAAATAGTAGCAGTGTTGCCGCCTTGTGTTTTTAAAAGTTTGATGTTGTAATTTTTCTTATCCAATTAGTCTAATAGTAAAATTATAATCAATACAATATTACCAGGAAAAGATCAATTACAACAACAAACTTTTAAATACACAGGGCGGCAACACTACTACCATTTTGACCGCAGCTGTATACTTTTATGTTTTTTGACTATGTTTTCTAGAATTTGTTTCTGCCTTAAAAAAAATCTTAAAAATTTTTTAAGTATGGGGTTTAAAGATAAAGGGTGCATCTTTTAAAAAACTTTAACATCGAATCAAACCATGCATCCATTTGCCTCTGAGAGCTCCGCAAAGTTGGCCAATTTCAGAATTTTTCGAACTTTGAGGTCCTTTTGCTAAGAATCCTTGCGTCGGGGAACTTTTTAGAAAACGCAGTTTAACTTGGGAATTCGTAACGAATCCAAAAATATAGCATCCATCGAGGTAAATTTAAAAAGCACTAAAAATGCTGCCCAGTGTAATTGAAAATAAATGTGCTGTCAAAATAATGGATTTTATACCAATTTAGGGCTGAGAATTGACAATCACACATTAATCGCCCCAGGAATTTATTTGCCAACTAATTTGACATATCGACTTAATTAAAAACTATTCCTGGGTTCGAAACCCGCTAAGTTCTCGATAAGCCACTTAAGTTCTCGCTTGAACCTTTGGCCACGGCTACTTGCACAGAGAAAAAAAAATACCAAAACTGGTCATCATTCGGGTATTTTTTCATATCAATTTTGGTCCCATATGTGGTCATACCAAAATGATATTTTCGAACATACAAAATTGGTATTTTCGAACATATTAATAAGGTATTTTTCATACAAGATTGTTATGATCTCATATCAAATTTTGCTACAAAATTTTGTATTGTATTTTCTCTAACTCAGTAAAGCATTCTGCCACGAAAAAAAAATGTCTGCATGGCTCAGAGGCCAAGGTGCTAGGTCCTGATATTATTTTGTGCTCGGGGGAACGGGGTTCAAATCCCGCTCACAACACAACACAACTTTTTTTTTATTAGTAATCTTATCATATTAACTTTTTACAACAATTTTGTTCTTAATATTGTTAAGGAAATGTTAATTATGCGCCTTAAAAACTTTTTACTTTCTCTGCCTTAGCCGGTTTTGAACCGGGGTCCTCTCGCATCAGAGTCGGATGCGTTACCTATTGGGCCATCGCGACAAGTTACACGCGAGTATATTAGCTAAACTTGAATGTAAAATTAGCTCGTTTAAGCATGCTCAACTTGTAAGTGTGACCACAGCATATAAAGCGGTATAATACCAGAAATACAACAAAAATACAACTTTACAGCCATACTATTTTTTCGAAGACTTTTCGATGCCCCATTTGATATGAAAAACATATCAATCTTTGAAGTATTCATATTAATATGTTACGGATTCATATCAACATGGGTAATTGTTATGATTTCGTATCATATTGGTATGAATTCGTATTACATTTATATGGAAAAATTGATATGTACAAATTGAGGAGACAATATCAATCTGGTATTGTTCCATTTTTTTCTCTGTGTGGGAATTAATTATCGAGTTGTCGTCGGTCGGCTCGTAAAATCCCCAGAAGCACACAAAGCCGAACCACCCAAAAACACCCACCCAACCCTCAAACCGACGGCCTTCACAATGGAAATAGATAAACGATAAATGCCAAAATAAGACGGCAATTCGGTGGCGAACCCTCATCCTGCGCCCTTCGTCCTTCGTCGCGTGTGCATTTTGCATTTATTAAGCGATTATTAACGAATAAAGGAGCGCAGTCACCCCGAACCAGCGACACTTGTGATGGTGATTCCCCCTCCTGATAATCCGCAAAGTCATTCCCGGGAAATGTGCGCAACATATGACGCTTCAAGCGGAAAAGCATCGTTGGACATGCTTGCAAAATATGCTCACAATTTTCGAACCGACCCGTTTCTATCTGCTATCTGTTTATAATCCCCGAACCAGGGTCCTTTATGCGGCTCGAAATTTAATTAAACCCTCCTTAAGGTCTAGTGATATGTCTGTATATCCGATTTATAGAGAAGTTCTCAGCTATACAGCTGTCTTAAAAAAAGAGTCGGTCCTTAAAATAAAAATGCAATAAAATCGAAATACAATTAAAATCGAATTTTAAAATAAATCAGGTTCAAAAAATTAAAGATAGTTAACAAAATTCCTCTTTAACTTGGATTAAGTCATTAAAAAAAGGTTCACCTAAAAAAAAAGGTTAAATCATAACCTTTTAACCTGTTAAAAATATACTAAATATACTAGATAATAAATAATTATGTTGAAATATACTATAAATACTAGATACCGAATAATTTAAAGTCTACACTTTGTAGTATTAATTTCATACTAATTTCAGTCAAATAATTTGAAGTTTATATTTTGTTTTTTTAATTCTATACCGAATGATTAATTTTGTATACTTCAGAAAGTGTTTTCAGTATTTCAGACTTTTATATACTCTCTAGCAAGATGCTGTGTGTATTGGGGGTGGGGCTTAGTTTGATAGATTTGATATGATTGTTGCATTTACATTTCTGCTCCATACCTAGTAGCCAGGGAGCCACCGCGTCGTTGTCCTTGGCCGATTTGAGGATGGTGTCCGGCAGGGGCAGCGAGTGCCGCACCATGGCCCCATAGAGTCCGTACTCCGCCATTATCGTGCTGCCACCCCAGACCTTCTCGGTCTTGCGCCACTTGGCCCGACGATTTTGGAACCAGACCTGAAAAGAAGAAACGTTCAATCATTATTATTATATATTATTTAAAATCTTAATAAGTAGTCCAAGATTTAATTTTGCAATTGGGAATTCAATATAGAAATATACAATGATTGAAATGAATGTGGTATTCACAAAGAATGCAACTATAATAATATTTTACTATACCCTCACGTTTTTCTCTAGGTGTTTCAATGCAAATTATTTAAATATGAGTCCCGATTTTGTCCCCGTTAACTCTTCCGCTTAAAAAGCTCTTGCCATATGGACATCGACCTCATCAGTGGCCAATGGCTACTACTATCAAGTCAACTCCTTGGAAAATGCAATGCAAATTGCAAATTATTAACGCAAAAAATCATTCAAATTGAAAAAATGCAAATTGAATGTTTTTTAAATGCTAATTCTTGAGCCGTAAACCTTTGAGCTGCCCCAAACACACAAAAACATGTATACACACTCAAAGTTCAAGTTTCAGGACAGGGGTGTCTCGCAAAAGGGATCGAATAAATTTACCAACTTTATTTCAATAGCAGTTTAATTATTTAAAAAATAAATTTACAAATATTTTCCTAATTTCATATTTTCATAAAAAAGTTTAACTCATAATACTTGTTGTGTTAAATATACTAAATATACTAGAAATACTAGATATCCTGTACTCTTTGTACTTTCATCATTTTAATAGCCTTTTAATTACAAATTTAATAAAATATATATATTAATAAATCATTAAATATTTCTTCATATAATTGCTCTAAATATTCTTCTCTATATTTAATATACCCCTTCAAATCGAACCAGTCGCCGCTGCTCCACACATAATGTCAAATGATATACATATTCGCATATAAGTGACCAAATTAGATTATCTTCCGAAACATTAAACCGATTCTTTGCCAACCGGCTACGGCAACAACAAAGATATTAATATGAAAACATTAAATGTTGTTCACAAAAGGGCGACCGACAACAACAACTGTCACAATAAAAGGATTTGCAAAGGATTGCCGTCGATTCAAGATTCAACCACCCCCGGAATCGCAGAATCCCAGAGTCCCAGAATCCCGGGAATCCCTCTACACACTGAAAAAGAAGTCATCATTTTTCTGGTCCATCAAATCGTTTAGTTCTGCTATTAGTCTTGCACTGAAAACAGGGAGGGTCGGTCAGAAAGAAAGGCAGGGCGAAAAGGGGTCGAAGCAGAGATGAAATCGACGAGGACGAGGACGAAGAAAAAGGAGACCAAAACTGAAGTGGCTCGGGAAAAGGATGATTTATAATAAAAAAGCAATATATGCAAAGAAGGAAAAAACCAAAAAAAAAAAAAAAAAAAAGGTAGGCAACCGAGGGTTAAGGGTTAAGGGGTGTTAAAAGCTGGCGAGTAATTCCGTTGGCCAAGAATCAGGCACCCAAAAGCCTAGAAACCCCAGCCAAATCTCACACTTAACCACACGGATTGCGATTTCCCTCCAGAAAAATAATACGAAAAAAAGACAAGGAAGTAAAGAAAAGCGAAGATGAAGTGGTTTGGTTTGGGCTTCTGTCACAAGTCTTGGAGCCCCATAAATCTTAGAGAGCCCCAGAAATTGGCAAGCCCGAACTCTGACTTCTGTATATAATTTATATATCATATATATAATTTCATGCAAATACTTTTGCAGGCAGCCACTCAGTGCGTTTCGTTGCAGCCCACAAAATGTAAAACTTGTCATGGATTTTTCTTTTGGCAAGCTTCGGTACGCTAAGTTTCAGCAGTTTAAAGCCTTGTCGGGCCCAAAAAAGTGAGAAGAAAAAATACTGAAATCAAGACGATTTTTTCTTTCCCTAGTTTTTTCAGTTCTGAGAATTTCAGAATTTTCTGTGAATATTTAATTTAAATTCGTTAAAGGAAAATCTTTGATTTATTTATAATAACATTTTTCGAGACTTTGTAAAGTAGAATTGTGAAAACATCGATATTATCGATACTATCGAAGATTAGAGAAAATAAACGACAAATTACAAAAACAAAGGAAAACCCTAAACACATGTAATTACAAGTTTAAGCTTGAATTATAGTACATAGAAAAGCGTAAAAATTTCATGTAAATTTAGGTTATATACTATCGATAGTTTTAATAGAGCTATTGATCGTTTAAGCAACCCTACTGTAAAGTTTAACCAGAAATTAGCTAAAGATTGCAAGAAATCCATACTCATTGCTGCAATCGTCTTACAGTTCTGATTAGCAGCGTGTCGAAGTAGCGAAGTGTGTGCCAGCTTTTGCGATTACTCGGGCGTGGATGTGCAAATGGATGCCGAGTTTGAAATTACCCGCCACTGTTCTGCCAAATTGCTCTCCACACACCCCCAAAAACTTGGCTCCTGGCCCCCGAAATTTGGACCCTGAGACTTCGGGGGCCTTGGGAATTGGGAGCCTCTGCTCCCTGAATACCTGAGAATCTTGGGCCTTGGCCCTTTCTGGGCTGCAAAATCAAATTAATCCGGTTTGTTATTTCATCATGCAACGTCAACGTCATCATCGCCCATCATCAGCTGCAACAACAGACAAAAGACTGCTGCAACACCAGCAACATCGGCAGCAGCAACACCAGCAGCATTTTGCAATAATAAATGGCAAATGGCAACACACACAGGCCGACAGACTCTGGTGTAAACAATACACACACAAACACACAGAGAAGCCTCTGCCAAAGGAGCGGAAAATTTCATTAACAAGGTACACAGGCAACATCCACCATCCTCCATCCGGAGGCCACTGGCTCGTCTGATAATTTAATCAACTCTCATTGAATTATATCATTTTGCAATTTGGAGACCCGGCAGCATCAGCATCAACATCCCATCATCCAGATCCAGAAACAGAAAACAGAAGCAGATTATGATACCGGGAGTGGAAAAGTGGAAAAGCGACCGGAAAAGCGGGGCCGGCACAATTTCGGTAGGGCCTCTTTGAGTGCGGAAATCAAAAAGGGAAATGCCACAAATTCCCAACGGAAATTCGCCATCAGACCGAGATTCGTAGGTGCCTTACGTAAATAAAAACCTACCTACAGCCTACTGATAAAACAAACTTTTTTTTCTATTTTTAATAGAATACATTATTAATTTTTTTAAACAAATATATTTTTTGACTATACACACAGAAAACAAATTTGACTAAAGATCAGGAGGTCAATTTAATATTTTTTGAAGATCAAGTTATTCAGATCATTTTAAAATGAATTAAAATACTGAATCTGGTATTTCTACTATTTTTTTTAATGACTAATATGATAAAATTTCGAATTGATATTTTTGAATCATAAATTTGACATTAATCTATGATATGATTAAATATCATGATATCAAATTTGTTTTAGGTGCATAAGAAAAATAAAATCACATTTATTTTCCAGTAAATCAACTCTGAGTCGATTAAATATCGGGGGAAGCCCTAATGACAATTTCAATCAATTGATGCTAACGCATTCGAAAGGCAGACATAAAACATGCACCTTACAATACGAAAGAATCTCAGAGGCGGGTCCAGGGCCTTCGAACCCCCTTGAATCCTCCCCCTAAATCCGCGCTGGCAACCACTTTAATATAGATAACAGCTTGGACAATCTGCCGCTAAATGATTACTTGACCATTCCCATCTCAACTTCGATTCCAATACGCTGCGAATCACGACATCAATTTGCTGATTGAAAATTTATTTCCTTTCTTGGGCGTGCAGTCAGTGCAAGGGGTGAATATTTCGAGGGACACTTTTATGGGGCACAACTAAAGGGGCCGCCGGGCCACGCCCCTTGTCCGGTTGGTGGAAATGGTTTTTGATTTATCGAACATTCAATTGGCCGATGATGAGGTCAATGTGAAGGAATTCCCAAGGGTAGCGTTAAAAGTTGTTAAAGTGCATACGATTGAAAGCTCTCGTAGCTCAAAATGAATTAATTTAATAAATTAAAAACTATCGATAATATCGATTATTTTAAAATTTTAAGAACATCAATGGTTCGGACCATTACAAAAATAGTTTAATTTTACAAGTGATTGTTTTAATATTCTTTAAATATTATTCTATTATATTAAACATTTCTTTGTTTTCTTTTAAATGTTTGATTGTATCGATATTATCGATAGTTATGTTTTCACAACCCTACCACACAACCTAGACTTTTCAAAGGTTCCGGGGACTCTGTCATTTGGATACATTTGCAATTGTCAAACCAATTTGACTCAGACAAAGGTCACAGGCCTTCTGGCCATTTGCGGCATAATTAAAATATTGGTTACCAATCAATGATCCTCAATGGGCAAGTATTTCCACCCACCCACCAATCGAAGGGGGATTTTCGGGCGGCGATTGTGGGTGACGAATATTTGCTCACTGGGGCTGCAAAATTGCGCAAATTGCATATGCAACGGGTCGCAGCAGCGCAGGTACCGGCGTCCTTTTCAGGTGACATGTGCACCTCTGTGTGCACCTGTGTGCATTCGATTTCGCCCTGCAATCGAGAGGGAATTTGCCTTTGAGTTCGTGTGCGGCCTTTATTGGTTTACTTCATCAACTCAAACGACTGAGTGGTTGGGTGGCTTACGAATGGTTCGGTTCGGTTTCGATGGGAGTAGAGTGGAGTGGAGTGACTACAGTCAAGCGACGACTGCGAGTCAGTCAGCCCGGCGAGGCGTGTGGAAATTTCATAACGACAGTCCGCAGTTTATATGCAATATTCAATTGACATTCGTGGAATTTGGTTTTCAAACTCTACTCCAAAAGGGTATGTCAGTTCTCGGATGAAGTTGGAAAGTCAGTAGAAGTCTAAAATCGATTAATAGTACTATTGATAATATCGATTATTTTAAAATTTGGCATATTTTGTTATAGAATCGATAATATCGATAGTGATGTTTACACAATCGTACCGCAAATGAAAAATGAAAGAAAATTTGGTATTGAAACAGTATGCAACAAAAGAATGGTTTTGAAAACCCCCTCACAACCAAATGGATAA